TAACAATCGATTTAGACATTTTCCTTGGTACATGCGATATTGTGGGGCTTCCAGTTAAGATGTTCATCTATATTAAACCCCCCGAGAAAACTAATTCCTCATTAATTAAACAAATTAAGTTAACAAACTCGATGACTATTTAGGAATATATTAAATTCAACATTTACATTGGTTTTGTTTTGGTCGAAAAATCATAACATTAGTTTTCCGTTTAAATTAATTGATAATCTATTAGCTGAAAACCAATATAAAAATTGGAGAGTTTATTTAACTCACGATTAACTTGATCGATTAAACCAGAGAGGTTTTTATGCGAGTAAATAGATTTGTGTCATCGCCGCGAAAAGCGAAATATGCTTGAAACATTACATATACATCATTAACATACAATAAAAATAGTAATGGGCCTAATATTGAACCCTGCATGCGGAACACTCAATAGTCATTTTTTGAGAACAACTACATTTTACTGAACAAATTGCTGTCTGTTGCTAAAATCGTTTTTAAGCCACTAGAGCTCTCGTGCAATTTTTAGTAAATCATGAAAAATACCAGACGAAATCGACAATTAATTATAGCGATGTGTGTGAGAGGTTTAGCAATTTGATCGATGGATTTTTTAATAGAAAACACAGGTAAATTGTCATAATAAACAGCTACTCCATTTTTAAAGGTATATAGACCTTTTCTCTTATGAGTAAAATTTTGATCTAGATATGCCTGGACAAAAATCACAGCTTGAAAGAGCATAACAAAATTAGTAATATTCCGAAGTTTCGTTGCGAAATGTTGTAAAATGCGGATAATATAGCCTTGCGAAGTTATCAATTTCCCGTTTGTAATGCAAAATGACTGAAAAACGGCAAACTTCGCAAGGCTATATTATCCGCATTTTACAACATTTCGCAACGAAACTTCGGAATATTACTAATTTTGCGATGCTCTTTCAAGCGGCGCGCTGTGATGAAATTTTTGTCCAGGCAGTTTCTAGATCAAAATTTCACTCATAAGGGGAAAGGTCTATTTACCGTTTCAATAATCTCTTGTTCACCTGCCGGCCCAAAAAACATGCTATCGACGTACTCACCGGAAAGAAATGAATTGGAAGAAAGTTCAAGAAACTGAAACATGTCTTTTTGGCTAAGTCAGGACCCAGTTTCGCGAAATATAGTTAACAGAACTGATTATTCGCTATTAAATTTGGATCTGAATATTCTACACCATCAATTAAAAATGTAGAAGGAAGTTTCATGGACATGGTCTGCTTACATTTGTTCATAATTTCATTCAAAATATTCCACTTTTTTACAATTTAATTTAATTTATTACGCTCTAATAGCTGTTCATAATAAAGACGTTTAGCTATTTTATATCTTATGCAGACTTGGATACAGTGGCGGAAATTCACTTTTTCCGGTGGGGGGGGGGGCAAAGCCTCCTAAATTTCCGACAAACCTTTCAAAATTCCGACGAACCCACCCCCCTATTTGCACTCGAAAAGGCCGTTTTTAGCCTTCTTTAGATCAAAATTTCCGAAAATTCGTGAATTTTCCGTGAAGGTGGGGGGGGGGGGGCGGTCGCCCCCTCGCCCCACCGAGATTTCCGCCACTGCTTGGATAAAGCTTAATTTAAACATTTTTCTTTGAGTTGTGTATTTGTTCAGACAAATAGAAGTTATCCTAAATTCCCATGTCAGGCAGAAGACCTTGTGTTTTCACGCATTCATTAAATTAATTCGAGAACTGATTATACGGCTGTCAAATAGACAATTCCCATTCTTGAATAATTTTAAAACTAGGCAAGGAGATGCAAATATATCACCACAGCTAGAGAGAGCATGCTAAAATGAGTAAATTTGCAAAGTTTGGTTGCGAAATGTTGTAAAATGCGGATAAAATGGCCTTACAAATTTTGTATACTTTTGTATTGCGTGCGGAAATTGCCGAGGGGCAAATCACTCGAAAAATCTCGTACACTCCCTCAAAAAGTCCGTAAAAAGACCGAAAAGTCCAGAGGGATTTTCAAAAGTCCGCAAAATCCCTAAATCGGTAAAGAGTCCATGTAAATCCTTGAAAATCTTTGAAAATTTTTCCCTAAAAAACGATGCCAAAAGCCACTCTGCCTCTGGTGTTATAAATACTGCATTTACTTCATGTAACCACAGTTGATTCTTTTATTTAACCTGAATCACCTGAACTTCAGGGCCTGAAGGCTAGTACCGCTGGTTAGCTTCCGCGAAGGCGCGAACGGAATGCAGCGAGGTGCTTACCGTATTTACTCGTTTGAGCGCCGCGGCGCTCTTTGAATTTTCAGACTCAGATGCGGCGCTCATTCGAGGGCGGCGCTCAATCGGGGGTTTAATTTAAAAAACTTTTATTTGTGAATTATATCAAGAACTTTTAACAATAAAATAAACAAGTTTTGAATGTCTTTGTCACTAAGGCAGCGTTTACACTGTACCGTTACGTTTTCGTAGCGTTCTCGTATTGTTCTTAATCCTCAAGGGAACGCAAGACAATAGTCTAGTTCTCTCGAACAATACGAGAACGCTACGAAAACGGTACAGTTGTAAACGCTGCCTTAATGTCCCCACTTTGACGGCGGAAAGGTTTTGCACTGTTTAGTGCGGCGCTAAGCGGCGCTCATTCGGGCGCGGCGCTCTTTAAAAAAATTTGATCTGAAATGCGGCGCTCATTCGGGGGCGGCGCTCAATCGGGGGCGGCGCTCAATCGAGTAAATACGGTATACTTATAGCTTCTTGTGATCGGAAATTAAGCAATTTCCGCACGCAATATAGGCTCAGATTCCAGCCGTTGTGTTCTGGCGGCGAGTGGCGAGAACACAACGGCCGGAATCTGAGCCTACACGCAATACAAAAGTATACAAAATTTGCGAATTTGCAAGGCTATATTTTCTGCATTTTACAACATTTCGCAACCAAACTTTGTCATTTTACTAATTTTAGTATGCTCTTTGCGGAAACTTTGTATACTTTTTTGCCAAGACTATAAAAATTATCCCAGTAATTAGGCCAAATCGTCATTAGTGCCGTTTAGAAAACAAAAAAAAAACAAAAGGCCAAGACAAAGAGAACAAAGGCCTAGTGTGACGGTGTTTGGCCCAATTATTAGGTAGGTAGGTAGGTAAAACTTTATTTAAAAGTTCACACGCTGGCCCGTCAACTATACGCTGATTTCCACGAGGGGCGTGTGGATTACATGATATTATATAACAAAATATCACACACACTAAACTTACAAATAACTACAAAACAATTATGTACAAAACTGATAACATAATTAATATTAGAAATTATAAGCGTCAATTGCATTTATGAATGTTGGTAATGATCTGAATCACGCATATCTGCAGGTAATGAGTTCCACAATTTAGCGCCATCATAACAGAAGCTTTTCTTAAGGTTTTCAGTTTTTGGCAAAGGTAATTGTAGTGATTTTCCCTGGCATAGACGTTACGTAGTGATCAATAAGAGTACAAGACCTATTAGTTATTCGTGTGCCCTCAGTGATTAATTGAGATAATTGATATGCTTCATAAATAATTTTCAGTGTTTTTGTTGGTTGGTCAGAGACTCTCTTTAACATATTGCAATTCAAATCCCCTAAGATATGAAGTTCTTTGTTTTCATGATCAATCAAACCAAGGATCAAAAAATGCGGATGAGGCGTCGGGTAGTCGGTAAACAGATGCAACAATAAAATTACGGCTATTTGGTTTACAGATTTCTAAACAAACAGCTTCGAGACCATCAGGAACAAGATCATTTCTGGTTTTATAGTTAATTGAACTACGGAGATAGACACACACACCTCCGCCTCTACGCGATCTGTCTTTCCTGATAATGTCGTATCCGGAAATATTTACCAGACCATCCGAAATCGAAGAATCCAGTCTAGTTTCATTTAAGGCAAAAAGGTCAATACAGTACATAAACAATTTCGATATGCGTAATTCATCAACATGTTTCGGCAAACTAACTATATTAAGTAGAGCCATTTTAAATCCCTTTGCATTGGGACCATTAGGAATTAAATTAGGTGCAAATTGCCTATACAATAGATTACGGTTAATTTGAATTTGAATTTGAAAGGGTGTACATTTTTTTGATACACCCTGCACAATGAAATGTGAGTGAGTAACTTTTCGAGCGCGCGCACTTGGAGGAAATGTTCATTAATCGTGACTGAAATTATTCAACATGTTGAATATTCGGTGCCGATGGCACACGTGGCTGAAATCGCTCAAAACGTCACCACACACTACTGGGGGAACTTGCTCACGCCAACAGTCACGAGTGACGCTCCGCTCAGCTGCTAGCACCAATGTGCCCCGGGCTTTATGAGCCTACGTTTCGGACACTGCCTATAACTGAGAACTTAGTATTTATGTTTGCAAGTACTGATGCTGTAGCTGATTTAAGTTACGATTTAAGGTACTGATTCAAATGCATAAAAGGTCAACAATTTTTGCTTGATGTTTCACGCAGCATGCTTTTTAAACTGCCCTCAGCCTAGAAATTACAATTCAAGCTAGCTATCATTGGAAAAATTTGAGTCCGGATCTAACTGAATCACGTAACATTTGCCGGTTATTGCAGACGTTTAGAAATAGAGTATAGGAGAGTTATAGAGCTGCAGGTATACATGAGCGAGTATGTACTACAAATGCAAGTTAATTCGGTTAGTTTTGGAACCTTTAGCGCTGGTACACCTGTACCTTACTAGGATACAGACCCCAAAGATGACAGCCGATGTACAAAACTATTGAATTCGTAATCAGTGAAGTTTGGTCCCCACACATTTGTGCCCGAAAGAGTTGAAAATAGAGCGAGTACAGCGAGTACAGACGTTCTGTGCTATTAGACTTGGATCAAGTCCGTCTCTCAAGAGTCCGAGGGATCGGACGCTCTAGGGTCCTCTAGAGAGACGGACTTGATCCAAGTCTACTGTGCCGCGTGCTCCTATGCGCACTCCGCGCGACGCGCGTGGCTCGGGAGTAATTCAATATGGCGGACAAAGTGAAGGTTGGTTTTATTGGAGGTGGCAAAATGTCACAAGCGATTGCCTCAGGGTTTGTATCATCTGGCTTGGTGGAACCACAAAATATCATTGCAAGTGCTATCACGGAAAATACTCTCAATATCTGGAAGGTATATGCTCTATATTATTGTAATTGTTACATAAATCACTTTTGTTCTTTGACTCTTTGTTCTGTGTTTAATACTGACACGTGTTTTATGTAGAGGAATGAGGATTTTTATTTATCTGGTATGAATATACCAGATAAATAGAAATCACTTTTACTTAACCATCAAGTGCTATATATGAACATAACTATAGCTGTCAATGTCGACTGGTCATCACATATTACATATATGTGTCTCATATGTGGGGCTAACCCCCCCCCCCCCCAATTTCTAGAGGGTGGGGAGATGAGTGGGGTAACAACATTGTAGAACCAAGAACTTTTCAGTTGCATGGTTACCAAAAGTTAAGTAATGTGATTGATGTGATTTAATTTATGTGGGAAGTAATCAGCAGGCTACAACCTATCAAATGTAATGATCAGACATTTTACACATTTATATAGTCAGAACCAAGTGAAATTGTTATAATCCATGTTAATAGTTATAATGTATGTTTTATATACATGTATTAATTTTGAGATGCTCTGTTCAGTGGTTGAGATCATTTAATTCACCCTTTTCAATATTTATGTCAATGGGTTGTTCCAGAAAAGATCCATACTCCCCCCACGGAGGAAATTTCTGCCATCCGGAGGCGGAGGGGAGAAAAAATTGTTTCTGATAATAGTAAATGTATTAGGACATCCGAAGGGGGTAGGGGAGTTAACTTCCTATTTCCTCTGTGGGGGTGGTACGGATGTTTTCTGGAATGACCCATACAGCTGGTACTGTACATCACAAATACTTCCTCGATCTGGGAGCCTCGATCTCATGAATCATTAAGACAGAAGGCAATTTGTTTACAAGACAACTTGTAAGAGTGAAGTTCCTGGACCAAGGGGAGATTTGTGAGTAAAAAATGGTTGCAGTCTCTTCATCACGTTAAAATGGAAAATTTGTGAATGATTTGGAAAATTGTACATAACCAATACATTTCTTACTATATTATACAAAATGCAGCAAAAATTTTTTGTTTAAATATCAAATATTACCAATCTATCGCAGAAGTGATCACACATCCAGCATCCTTTTTCCTGCCAACCCAGTAATTATTAATGTGCCATAAACAGGATCGAAGATTTTTTTATTTTGAAGGAATGGGGTTGTGTCACAACATTTAGTAACAAACGAGTGGTGGATACATCTCAACTGGTGTTTATTGGCGTCAAACCACATCTAGTGTTGCAAGTTTTGAAGGAAATATATGACAATGTCACTGGTAATCATGTAATTGTGTCCATTGCTAATGGCATAACAACAACAACATTTGAACAGGTATTAATTAGATGTCTTCTAAACTCAAACAGTCTGTGCCAGCTACATAAGTGCCAAAAACACCAGAGAACTGTAGATTGGTAGGGATTCAACTACCTGAAAATTATGAAAACATCAATGTTTCGAGCGACTTAAAGGCCCTTCGTTGGGACATTAGTATAGCATGGAATGGATTGGGAAATTATTTACATGTGTTTTTATACTAGTGAATATAAAAGCATCACATGACAAGAAATAAACCAAACCACGGGACCAAACAGACCCATGATGTGCACCTCATGAACGTTTATAATGAACATTTTTCTTATGTTTAGCTATATCTGTCCTTGCCTAACTTTATTCTCACCTTATTCCTTACTTGTTTCATTATATTCTTTATATTTTTATTTGTATTATATCCCATATTTTCCTTCCTTTTTTCCTTAGTAGTATAGTTTCTGTGATGTGATTTCCATGTTTTGTTTGCACTTTGTTTTCATGACTTAGTCCATCTGACTGACCAGTTTATTTTTTGTCACATAATGCTTAATTCACCAGTATAAAAGCATGTGTATTTTCCCGATCCATGCTACTTAAACTTCCCGAAACAAAGGACCTTGACTCGAAACACAGAAATGACACATCAATGCCAAAAAATTAAATTAATGCAATATAGCCACTACAATGCTATTTCTAGTTGCTGCAGGACCTTACCCTCATCAAATCATAAAATATTTTGCTCATGGTTGCTCCCGGGCATTGTGGGAAAGGCATTTAGAATGACAATTGTTATGCAGCAATTAGAACAAATATTGTCCTTTTTTGAAAAAGTACATTTTTGGGGGGATAAGAACAAGTTTGTTTATTACTTTCTAGACATGTATGATTATTTTACTAGAAACTACATGCATGCAGAAACCCTCGTCTTGCTGACAAAACCATTGTATTTTCCGAACATGAAGTATCTAAAGTAGTTGTCATGGTAACACAATAAGTTTTTAAGAATATTCTTACAAATGAAAAATCGACTTAAAATATCACTTTTAATTACAAAATTATCAATTTCCGAACATATATATGCTAGGTATGTTATTATACATAATATAAGCTTCAATTTAAGGTAAAATTCAACCACAAACGCTTTGCAAAACGTTTTAAAGTGTTCTTTATAAAACCAAACTGCCTTTAATTAAATGGCTTTATCGATAAACTTTGAGTTTGCAATAAAATGATTTCAAATTCTCGCATGCAAATAACTTTGCTTTCTTTTTTACTTACCGGCATTTAAAAAATTCAATATAATAAAAAAGGGAATCAACATTAAAGATACACTGAAATTATATGCTGCCTTGTAATAGTTGTTTCATATAAGCAAAGGCCGTTGCCCATTGGGTTTTAACGGCTATTAAGCAATTATAAAATCAATATTTAAAACAAACATACCTTCGTTAATGTCGGCTCCCTTCTTTTAGCCTATTCTTTCACCCTTTCTTTCTGAGAAAGCTTTTGGAATTTACAAAATCTTGCAAAAAATGCGAGCAAAAATGAAATATATTTGCAAGAAATTTATCAATCATCAAATCAAGAAATGTTTGCTATTTTGCTGTCGTCATGCAGTCATTATAATGCAAACTTTAATTTGGACCAATCAGTGTCCGCTATTCATGACAGTCCGCCATATTTTTGAGATCAGTGAGGATGACCACCCATGGTTGGTGACCCACGCCCGCGATAATTGATGAACTTTAGACTTCGCTAAGGAAAAAAAATTCAAAATGAGGAATCGGCTTTGTGTTTTAATTACTGTAACAGACATTGAAAACACCCTCATTTATGGGTCATGTGAGTCACAAATTACATCATAAACTTTACTCATTCCCTGTCAACTTGAACTAATTTTTTGAGACAATCAATAACTTGGTCAGTGGTGGTGCCAGGCCTCAGAATTTTTTTTTTTGGGGGGGGGGGGGCATTTGAGGGGCAAGAGCTCTATGGTGGTAGATAGAATTTTTAAAAAGGTACTACTGCTATTTGCCAATGCCATTGTCACAGGACTTTTGTCCCCCCCAGGAGATTCGCCCCACTCTCAAAAGGGGGCTATATTCCTAGGAATACCGCCCCCGGAGGACGAATATCCTAGGAATATTGCCCCCCAGAGGGGCGAATGCCCCAGGAATATCGCCCCCCTTTAGGATATTCGCCCCCCATATATGCGATGTGGTTTATTCAAATAATTTTGTGATACTTTAATCTTATTAGTGCCTTAAGGCCCATACAGACCGGATGCTATTTGGCAACACGACGCAATTTTTCAGTTTTCAATGACATTTACAGTAACTTTAACATTTTTCATTGTTTTTCAAATATTCGGGACCAGTTAGCAATTTTAGCTATTTGGTCTGCATACCTTGTAAAATTTTTATCCATTGACGGTTTTATTTGTTTTTGAAAACTGAAAATTCGCGTCACGTTGCCGAATCGCGTCCGGTCTGTGTGGGCCTTTACACGTTTGAGAATTTAACTTTGCAAAACTAAAGCTTTTTTGTATTTTTTGAAACGTATTATTGGAGTATTGGCAAGTTTTACCATTCAGAGATTTACAACTACTAATATTGAAACTGTAAAAGACAGTTTCATGTTTCATGTATACGTGCATTCACTAATGAGTAATGACAACTTATATTAGCCATACATTTTCCGATAACGACAAAACGCTTGTGTAGCCTTTAGTCGCTCTCAATGACTAATAAATTTTTTGGAGGGGGGGACAAAATGGGGGGGGGGGGAAATGTGGGGGGCATTTGCCCCCCCACCACCACCTTGGTACTTTTATTAGGTACTAGAACCTGTCCACAAAATTATAAAAACATTGTTGATAGTTTCTGAGAAAAATCACCCTCAAGTTTGGTCACATGAGTCACATAAATAAAAATTCATGTGGAATTGTTAGTTTTAGCACAAAAGATGTACTGGAAAAAGTTGCTACCAATTTCTTGAATGAATAATATTGGTCATGTGTGTCACATTTTTCCTCACATGATTCATACTATGGAATAAGTTTGATTGAACATGCATAGTTCTGTCAACTATGATGCTAACCTAGCCAAAAATTGTTCATTTTACATGTTTTAAACTGAGTTAATAGCTGTATTATTTGTCATTGGTCACATGAGTCACATTTTTGTGTCATGTGAGTCACGCTGCATTTGTAAGATTATTTGTTAAACAAAAGATGACTTTCAAAAAAAATCAATTGAGAGTCATAGTGTCATGTCCCAGTATACTTTTTATGAGAGATAGAAAAATATAAAATTATTAAGTTGCCAGGAAAATAGATAAGAATACCATGAGGTAGATTTTCACAGACATTCTTTTCCGGCTGTCACATGAGTCACGAAAAGTAAATGGCAATATCTGAGGCAATATCTTGAATATCTCCCTAGGGAAATCCCTAGGGGGTTTCTTGCCTGAAGTGAATTTGGATTTTGCTAAATCAGACGTGGCAAAACATGCATTTAAATCCTAAACTTTTGTGACTTGGTCACATGAGTCACAATGAAATGGCTGAATATCGAATTAATTCCTTGTGTCTTATTTCCTTATGTCTTACTGTACATATGCAGTTGGGCTCAAACGTTTTGTAACACCTGCATGCTTGTACACGAAGCTTGATTACGTGCACATGCAGCTCATGCACTGCACTCATAACTACACAAAGTATTCGATGATGACAGAAATCCTGTTAGCTGTGACAATGTTAGCTGTGAATTCAGTGTTTACTGTGCGAGTAACCATTAAGTTGCTTTATGGCTTAATGCGGCCCAGCCACTTATAATATTTAATTTACTCTGTTTAATGCTAGACAAATTTTACTCATCAAGGGGAGAGCGCTAGCACGCAATGGGTTAATCAGACTATCAGCCAAAATGTCTAGTTAATCCATTAAGTTGCATTGCGCCATAATGCACGCTACTTTATTATCTTACTCTGTCTAATACCTCTGTCTATTTTGCTTGTCAAGGGGAGAGCCCTGGCGCTCAATGAGTTAACACCCATAACAGTGTGCAAGACCCAACCATTGATATTAAATAAAATCATTTGGTGTTAGGCAGAGTAAGGTAACAAAGTCAGGCATATATTGAGGAGCATTCGGCGGCAATTAACAAATAAAGAAACATTGGTATAGATGGTTTTGTTGCCAGATGATTTTACTCATTAAGGGTCTTTAGTTAGGCTAGAAAGAATAAAATAAGACCTCTGAAAGATATGAAATCCGCGTAATAGGTCATTGCTCCCCAGCCTCCACAAAGTGACATAGTGCACTGTCCCGCCCTTATTTGGTATTTTACTCTCACCTGCCTATACAGGGTGTATCAAAAAAGTATACAGTTGGAAAAAGTTCACTAAAGTCAGATGCGCGCGACATTTGCGAAAACTTTCAGTAAGCCTATGTACTTTAACGTTCTCTGGTACATCTAACACTCAAATTATTTAAAAAATGCTAGCGTTTTTAAATTAAGTAGGAACGCTGTTACTAAAATCCCCTCAAACTTTAAAGGCCTTGCGCAAAACATTTTTCATTGGACACAAAATTTAATCACACAAAGTCCAAAATATGGACTGTCTTGCACAAGCTATCAAAGTTTCAAGAAATTTGGTACGCGCGTAGGCCAGCGCGAGATCTTCAAAACCTGGATTTTCTCCCATTTTGTTAGTTCAAACGCGATTTCTTTGCATGATTTCAAATTAATTTTATGCATACTCGGATGTTTGCATAAATTACAGTGAGAAATTCCCAAAGGTCCTAGAGTTATTAACAGCGTTTATTTACAAAATTATTGACATCTAGTGTTTATTTACAAATAAAATCAATCTTCAACGTGCCCTCCTATCTGGAAGATTGATTTTGTTTGTAAATAAACACTGCATGTAAATAATTTTGTGAAAGGACCTTTGGGACTTGGCTTGCGAATTTCGTACTGTAATTTATGCAAACATTCGAGCATGCATAAAATTAATTTGAAATCATGCTTGGGTGTTAAAGGATTGAGGAGAGGTGTAAATTGACCAAATTAATCTGTAGACAGTAGACTCTTTACTAATGCCGAGGATGAATCAGCTTCAAGAGACAATTTAGTTATTTTATATAATACCTTATTGAATTCTGATCGTTTAATTAATTGGCTGTTTATGGTCACGTGATATTGAATAGGAAATTCCATTTCCCAAGAGTGCAATGGCACTCTTTGCGAGTGCAATTGTGCTATACGTTTTATTCCATTGAATCCATTCCATTAAATCGCATCCGTCAAAATGCTTCTCATACGAATCTATTAGTCTATTTTGGTATTATATAAAACAAATAATGAATGTTTATTCGTGCAATGGTAAGAATATTTTCATTCGGTGAAAAATGGAAAGTTCCATCTTTCACCTCATGAAAATATTCTTACCATGATTGCACTCATAAACATTCATTATTTGTATACTATTCTACAGGAGGTACTGGCTTTAAGCAAACGTTAATGGATGTTTTCTTACCTTGGTGTTATATTTTGTTTAGCACTTACCAGATGGTACAAGTATTATTCGTACATTACCCAACATGCCTTGTGCAGTACAAGCTGGTGTAACACCTTTTTGTCGAGGTAAAAATGCAAGCGATATTGAAGTGAAATTACTGAAAGAATTGCTACTAACAACAGGTGAGAGTGGATAGTTACAAGTGCTGTATCTCTTTAAGAATCTATCATAAATGCCACTAAGCCCAAATATGATTTCTAGTGTGTGTTATATTTGAGTCATTCTAAGAAGAATGTAATAAAGCTTTGTTGCATTGTATAAAACCTCATCTTGCTCATCCTGTTTTCAAGAGACCACTGTAACTGGTCACACACTGTATCAGTTACTCAACTTAATAGGTGAGGCTTTTTACATAAAACGCTTTCATTATAAAAAGTAGCCTGGTATGATGTCCTTAGATGAATTGCAAATTAGGTTGGCATTTATATTTTCCAAGGATGTTAGTTTTTTGGGCTGTGAATCACATATATGCATGTGAATGAACTGCATATTGTTTTATACATAAAATTGTGAATTTCATATCGCATTAACTTGGGCATGACTTATTTATATAGTTCACTAAGCTGTTCTCCGAGTGTTTAACCCATTGAGCGCCAACGCTCTCCCCTTGACGAGTAAAATCATGATAATCATCTGGAGTTAGACAATAAAATAATAAAGTAGGGTGCATTAGGGTTAACAAGGCACATGGACAGATAGTCTGATTAACCCAGTGAGCGCAAGCGCTTTCCCCTTGACGAGTAAAATCATCTGGCGCTAGACAGTAAAATAATAAAGTAGGGCGGATTAAGGTTAATTAGGCACATGGACAGATAGTCTGATTAACCCAGTGAGCGCAAGCACTTTCCCCTTGACGAGTAATATCCACGTCTGGCATTATGCAGAGTAAAATAAAAGTAGGCCGCATTTCTATGCAGTCTAATGAGTTACATAAAACTGTACTTTAAAAAATATGGGTAATGATTGATACTTTAAATGACAGAAACGAATGTATTCCTTTGCATTGCTTTTGTATGTACCACAGTAGTTAATATCTGTATGTTTTCTAATTAAACTCGTTCACTTGTTCGCTTAATTTGTGAATGACATGCATGCAGTAAACAAATTGCGGACAGGTGTGGTTAAACCATATAGAAACTCGGTAGATTGAATCATAGTCAATAGAATAAGAAGGCTAGGAAACTCCTCGATACAGACATAATAGACCTATGTTTTTGTCTTGGTTTATGCAAAAAGGTCGTTTCATTGTCACGTGGTATTGTTTTTTCGTCCAACCAACCAATAGCAGTGTGTTGGTTTGATTACCCAGTCGTGATATTACACAATGGTTAAATGAAAACATTACCGCCGCCTGGTGCCCATGAAGATGAGATGGAGATGCCCAGATGACGAGGAGAACAAGTCGGAAGATAAACATGAGCGAGCTAGGAAAACTTGGTTGCTCTAGCGAAAATACAACACACACATCGAGTTTCCTAACCTTATTCTACAGTATTGACTATGATTGAATCGATTATTAACCAAAATACTGTATGTCATCTACAGGGGCGTGCCCAGAGGTTAAGGAGGATTATCTTGATATTATATCGGCCATCAGTGGAAGTGGTCCTGCATATATTTATGTGATGATTAGTGCATTGGCTGATGGCGCCGTGAAATGTGGCTTACCAAGAAGTCTTGCACAATCACTTGCCGCAGATATGGTAAAAGGTGCTGCAACGATGGTAATTCAAAGTAGAAAACATCCTGACCAGGTAACCATTCAGGCTGAAGTACAGTATACATACCAAGATATTGAAAAAAATGCCTTTTCATCATCATCCTTATTAATTAATTATCACTTTCATCTTCAAATGTTGTTGAAGACAAATTTTTGGCTCGTTCAAAATTTATAGTTTAAAAATAAGATATTATGTTAACGATAGTCTACGTAGTTATTCTATTAAAGGGAATGCCCCTTTTCCTTGCCAATGTAAAACTTGTGAGTTTATGGATTCTGCTACCACCATTTCAGTACCAAAATCTCAATACCATGTCAAGCACCATTTCACGTGCACCTCCTCCTATCTCGTCTACTGCATCTCGATGCAGTGGGTGTGGCATGCTTTATATTGGAGAAACTGGAATATCTTTGAGGACAAGGTTTGGTGAGCATCTGGTACAGTCGTTGGCAACAATGCTAACCATGCAGCCTGTTGGCAGACTTTTTAATAGTAGGAATCAGCATGTCACCGCACAAAGAACGCCCCCGTGACAGCTAAAAGTTAGAAAAGGAGCTACATATATACCTGTACATGCACTATACTGGTCACACGTTTGAATTATTGAATATGTTTTTTTAGTTAAAAGATGAGATATGTTCGCCAGGTGGCAGTACAATAGTTGCTCTCCATGAAATGGAAAAGAATAGTTTCCGAGGGACTGTGATAAGTGCTGTTGAAGCGGCTGTGAATAAGAGTAAAGCTGCTGGAAGAGACAATAAGTGAACTGTAGGTAAACCATTCCGCAGGGCCGGTGTGGACCACTGCATGGTACTGTAGGTCCTCAGAACTGTATTTGCTTAAGAAATGGACCCATGCACACAAGGAGCCCTTACTATCTTAGGGGACATTTGAGTATTCTGTATACTGTGCAGCAATTATATTAGGGTACTCTTTATCTCGAGCTGAGACTTCAAGAGAACTTAAGAAATCATGAGCGTTGAGCATGTACTATTTAAATTTCCCGAAGTTTTTGTTCGCTCGCTCGCATGAACAAATTCGCGTAGTGAAAGGGGGATTTAAGGCTGGTTACACTCTAAATGTCCTAGTGATTACAATGGCGTCAGTAAACTTATAGGACAGTGACTGTTCACTTGAAATTGTGTTTTTGAATAAGTTTTACATTCCTCTGTCTTTCTGAAGCGCCACGCCGTCCCTGGGCAACATCAACATGCAGACAAGCGTGAAAATTCATATTAAATCTGTTTGACAATTTGTAGTGCTTCGTATACTTTATTAGACTATGTTGGTGCACATGCATGATTTATTTATATATACTATAACTGCGTAGTAAGTATATTTAAAGACTATAAGGTGTTTTTCATATTAGATTGATATCTGCATGTAAGTAAGGGAATAATTCTAATATAAAAGAGGTAAGAATGCATGTTCGTACTATATGTGTGTATGTAAGTAGAAGTATATATAGGTTATCATACGAGGGGCGAATATGAAAACGTCTATCTTGATGACGCTGTGTTTTTGCCGGCGTGATTGAACCACTATTTTCGGCGAAACAAATCATTAGAGAGTTTAAAAGCCGAGACATATACAGGACGCGACTGGACAACGCGGCGCGATTTTTCCGTTTTTGAAAGTTAATAAAACGGCCAATAAGGGAAATTTTAAAAGATACGTAGACCAAATAACTCAAAATGTTATGGCGCTTCTAAATATTTGGAAAACCAGGATCAAAGTTATCGGTCAGTGAAAATCGAAAAATCGCGGCGCTGCGTTGTCGAATCGCGTCCGGTGTGTCTGGACCTTGAAGGCCAAAACACACTAGACGCGATTCGACAACGCGGCGCGATTTTTCAGTTTTTGAAAGTTAATAAAACAGCTAATGAAAGGAAATTTTAAAATATATGTAGACCAAATAACTCAAAATATTCTAAATATTTGAAAACCAGGGTCAAAGTTATTCGTGAGTGAAATTCAAAAAATCGCGCGGTGTTGTCGAACCGCGTCCAGTGACCGGTTTGTCTCGGCCTTAAGATCCTTGACGCGGCAAGTCAACGATGCGCCTAATTCAATACAAAGAAATTCTTCATGCAAGACAAAAACTATGAATAATTTGTTGTCCCAGGGTTGTCCTAAACAGCGTTGTTATTCTGAATACAACGTTAAGGTAAGCATTATCATGTCATGACTTTGCCCTTCTAAGTAGAGCTATGGCACTCGAAAGTGCTTTGCATTGTTCATTAATGTGTTCTACATACATACATACAAAACTTTATTTAAACCACGCTAGCCTCAACAGCCGTTGGAAGGCTGGTTTCCATGAGGGGCGTGAAATTACCTATTTACAAAAAGTTAACTATATACAGGAAATACAAAATAAAAAAATACAATTGATTTTAGCTGCACGATTACACAAAAGCAAATTTCAACTCATTCTTTGTTTCAATATCGACTTGAAAGAGCTTAGGGATTCAGCAATTTTTGCCTCATGGGGAAGATTATTCCAATGCAAGGCACCATTATAACTGAAGCACTTCTTGCCGAATTCTTGTTTCGGCATAGGTGGTGCTAAATCAGTATCCCTTTTTCTAAGATTGTAAGTATTATGTCTTTCATTATTAAAAATGAAATGCTTCTTTAAGATTGGGTGCGGTGTGGCCATTCAGAATTTCATTGTCAATCGTAACACGTCACATATACGACCAAATTTTTTTTACACCATGAAAGGAATTCCGTTTCAAACACATACATTTCTATAAATTTTACAAACTAGATATAATAAGAGCCTATCGAAAATCAGTATTTATTCCTTACCTTTTTCTTTCTTCCATAGCTTCTATCTATATACGCGATATCCTAAGATGCTGCATGTATCCTAAGATATTGCATGATATCCTAAGATACTGCGTGATATCCTAAGATACTGCATGATATCCTAAGATACTTTGATACCATGCATTTTGATGTAATTGTGGTTTTTCATTTTATCGATTTTGATTTTTTTATGAATGAAATCATGACGTCATCGATCCGTGGCTTATAGGACCTAATTTTTCAACCTCGTTCCCAGGGTATTTGCTCTTGGGAAGCAAAGACCCTGGTGGACGCTGGTCACGTGATCTGCTAAAATCTAGCAGATTTTTAATTAGCGTTGTTTTGTCAATCTGGGAGGGGTGGGAATGTAGTAGTTGACATTCGCCAGATGCATTAGTGCTGTTAAAATGATAATAATAATAAACATGATTTATACTGTTCTAAATTCGTACTCATCATGACAAGATTTCCTGCTATATTGAATGTCATCAATAATAAGTGCTGCGGTACATTTCAAGCGAGAAGCTGGATCATATTTCACTTGCAAGGAAAAATATACTCCACACGCGCCTGGCTAGTGAGCACGCATCAGATCGCCGTATAAACATACATATCTGATATCTTCTACACCGACTGATTGATCAAACGGTATTTATATAAAACGAACGATATGATATGGTTGTTTATAGTTGAAATGTATCCTGTCCGATATTCAAAACAAAGGATTTATTTTATAACGGGATCCCTTGATTTCCCAACTGAAGTACTGAACATCGCCAACTGTGTATATAAAAACAATAGTGCTGTTTTGACTGTGAATTACAGTAAGCACAGGATTAAAACCCGTTATTCCTTTTATTTACATTGCTGAAACAGCTCAACGATCAAGAATGATATATGTCGAAGTACAGCTACAGTATACTGTTATCACACGCCAGGACTCCTCGGTGCGTGCGGTACAACTTGAATATCTAGGACGATATATGCACTAGACTAAATTATATCATATATTGCAGTAAACATTATAAATCTTATAAAGACCTTTCATTGGCATTGGTATTAATGCCCAGGCATTATTTGAAGAATAATCCAACTTAAAATCCAGCTTCTTTCGACTTGTATAATGCCGCTGTGAGTCAATATTTAAATCAACTTTAAGTCTTTAATCTTTATCGTATATATACCCCTATACATTACTGTGTCGTAACTGTAATTGAAATTTTAGAAGTTTCACCAAACGAGACTTCGTAACTGTAAGCAAACAACCTATCTATCAGTATCAGTATCAATAGAAACTTTAAAAGGCTTAATAAAACTCATTAAGTAATTCTATGAGCGAGACTTGGTGCGCATATACTATTTGCTAAATCTTTTCGGATATCATTCCTTTGCATTCAGGGTGGGAGGGTGAATGGCGATAGCTATAATTTATTATAGGAGATTCTGTGCAATATTTTGGCTCAACAAACAGGTAGTCGTGAAGACAAAAAAGTGCGCTGTCGAGTGTCGATTCCAAACAATTTTGTCAGTCGCTTTTGATACCTCTATTATACAAAACAGTATACCGTTTCCTTTCTATATTACAACAATTCAATGGCATATTATAAGAATATTGTAAATATCTGAACCAGAGGCAGAGCCAGGACAGAAACGTACGTATGAAATGAAAATATTGCGCCCGAACCCCGAGAGAATATTAAAAACGCAAATATTTCAAACCATACGGTCATACGTTTTCGTTGCTTGATTTGCTGACTTGTCTGTTAGTACAAGAATCTGCATTTTACCATGTTTGTATAATTTAAAACGGCAAACAGAAACCAATTTAGCAAGAATTTTGAAGAATATATGATTCTCAAAGATTATTGTACAGCACGGCCACTCCTTGCAATCGAAGTGTGAAGTGCGGAAGTGGAAACATGTAATATGAGACCTTTCCATCCCCCTCTGAGGCTATCAATTTTCTATGGGTCACGTGACCAGCGTCCACCAGGGTCTTTGCTTCCCAAGAGCAAATACCCTGGGAACGAGGTTGTGGTTTGACATATAATTCTGTCGAGCATTTCACTTTGTTTCTTGCAAATATACATAACTGTCAAACCATTCAGTAAGATATGAATAGGTTATCATATACGGGATGAGGTGATATCAGTTTTATCGCCGAGGGATGATATCACAATTGTCACAAGCGAGCGCATCAAGCGCTACGGTGGGACAATTGTTATATCATCCCGAGATATCGTCCCCCGAATCCCGAATACGGTAATCTATTTATTATACACTTGTACCTAATCAGGGTTAGAAACCCAAAAGTAGGCTAGCAGTTTTAAAAAAATAGGATAATATAATTTTAAAATTGAAGACATTTTATCATTTATTGAACAAATATGATTTTAGAATATTTGGACAATCCATATGTATTATCTTTCCTGTTTTCCTTCGAAAAACTGTCGACATCAACCGACACGAACCGGTGAGATGAAGCAATTGAACTATAAGCATAGATATCTTTTACAATTAGTAAAATTGAAGCCAAGGATATTCCAGCGGTTACCCCCATTTGAATAGATGGCGGCCGGTTTCGAGTTTCCTACTCGCTAATAAACGCTTAATTAAAAAACAACAATAACTTTCATCATTTGAATTGTTTGAAAGCGTATTTGGAATAGGTTTAAGTATATGTTAGTGTTTAAGATATAAAAAACATACGAGTTTCCTCATTTCATGGGAATATCCTGAGTCTGCAATCACGGCCTCAATTTTTGAATTGCAGAATAATTAGATGCACTATTTGGTGTATATAATATATCTATGACTATAAGTAAACTGGCTAACTCCTATGGTGAAGGCCTATATTTCTTTGAAGCAGACGCGCTGGAAAATCAGCTTTCAAAAGGGCTAAGGCGAATTTCGAGGAGTGAAAAAATTCGGTCAAAAGTTTGTTTTCAAGCAAAAATATCCACGAAAAATACTTTTTCCATAGGAATACTGCAATGATTGGGATTCAAACCAGGTTTTCCGATTAGTTCCGACTGTTGTTCATCTCTCTGCAGCAAAACATGAGTTTTGCTTAAGGTGGCTCCACACACTTTTCATCATTGGCGGACTGGTACCTAACGTCGAGTTTTCGCGCGAAAATGTTAAAAATATATGCAAAAATAAATACAACTTTTTCTGTAACCATAAGTCATGTTTATTTTGATGTTTTGAGTCTTCCTTGTTCTCATTTGTTCTCAATGAACATTGAATAACTAGTCTTTTTAGAAGACAATT